AAAAAAGTAAATTGGAGGTACATGCAGAATGGATCCAACTTTTCCAGTGTTGGCCAAATTAAAGGAGGGTTTGCTGGTAAGAAGTCAGCCAAAACAGGAAGTGTAGAGGTGTTTCATGTTTTATGTCTATGTCAAATTAACTGGGAAGATAAAACCATTATAAGCCTACAACTTACCTCTTCGGTATAGTTTGTAATGTGTGAAAATCCCTCACATCATAGTAAACCTTGCCTTACCCTTGAAATAATGATCTACTGCAAGATAGTATATATAGAGAGTGCAAAATGGGGATAGCTGGAGGAGAAAGGGAGAAAACACTATGCATCCTAGGTGTCTGGTCCCAGGAGAAAATATTCCTACCCTCCCTCCAATCCTGCTTACTAACTTATGGTAGACAGTGATAGCAGAAAGCTAACCAAGACAAATGGCCACAAACCCTAAATGCTTTGCTGTCTCACACTTGTCTTACCAACAAACCTCCCTTACCTATCCCACCACCTTTCTAAAGGAGCTTTCTGGATCAAGGCCAATGCAGTAGCTTGCAAGAGAAGTTGGAAGAAGAGAGACTCCACTAGCATTCCATGTGGCTTCTGAATGTAGCTGCTCTGGAGAAAAACCAGCAGCTCTAAGCCTACTCTCTAAGCAAAAGCCTTGATGTGGCACTGCTACCCTGGACCAAGGTGGTTCAAGCAGGACTAAGCCTAAGAGCTTCCTTTTGGGGAGGCCAGCACAAAGTCCAAGACAGGGTTATCAAAGTGCCTAAGAGATAAGAACATTCAATGCTGACCTGGGTAGAGATGATCCCTTTCTGAGAAAACAGCATACAAATTAAAGTTTAAAATTACTACTGCAATAGGTAACTGGTGCTGAGAAGAGATACCCAAATTGGCTGTTAAGGGAAGGAGGACAGAACCTACAAAAGGAGACAACAGCCACTAGCCTGAAGAGAAGCTCAGGGTCTGTGACAGCGGCAGCTGAAAAACCACAGATCAGATGGGCTCTAAAGCGCAGTATGATCACAGGTGATAAGATCACGGGCGAGCGTATCTGCATGTATTGGAGGAGGGGTTGGTGGAAGGAGATGGGGCTCTCTTGGGCAGGATGCCCTGCCGAAAGAGGATTCTTGAGCAATCTGAGAGGCGGGGTAAGAAAAAGCAGCGGAAAATCTAGGGGCCCAGACCACTCCTCCCTCGGTTCCGGTGGGGAGGGAGGGCAGTTGGCTTGGAAGCAAGAGGAGGGACCGAATGCATTTCTGAAGGCCCCAGGAGGCAGAGGGCGGTGGCTGGAAAGAGAAAGAAACCTGGAGCGCCATCCACGTCTCCGAAGGTCCTGGCTTTGGCCTCAAGGAGACACTGAGGATACAACGCGCCCACCCCGCCTGGACATCGCCGCCACCTGGTCCCCAGGACAGTGCGATTTCCCCAGGCTCTGGGGGGCGGGGTCTTCGGTCCCACCCCTCTTCCCGGCCCGGCCCTGCCCGGCTCTGCCCTACGCGGCGCGGCGCGGCTGGGCCCAGCCCCCAGCACTCACGGCTCCGGCAGCTCCGGCGGCTCCTCCCCTGCCCCGGCTTCTCCTCCACCCACTCCCGACCGTAGCAGCGGCGCGGGATCCGAGCCGCGCGGAACCTAGCTGGTTGGAACACGTGGGGCCTTTGCGCCCGGAACCGGAAGAGGCTCTTCGCCCCGCCTCCTGGCCGCGCTGGAGCCTTTCTAGGCGGTGGGAGGTTTGGTCCTCTCTGTGTGCCCGGTCTGGATTGGACCTGGGTACTCTCCTAAGTACACAGTGGGAAAAAGTTTTTCCTGGATCTTGGCTTCCGTGCCCCYTCCCCTCTCTGAAGCGAATAAATTAACACTCGGGGCCTTCTTTTCGTATGCATACCTTCTGCAGGTTTTTCTCTTTCTTTTTTTGATCTTTTATGCTTGTTTTTGGTCTGGGTGCCTATAGTTCTATGTATTTGTATTGATGTGTTTATATTTTCTTTACTTTCTCCTTTGAAGCCTGGCAGAAAAGACAGCAGCTTTGGGTTTGAATACTGGCTCTTGCATTCATCATCAGCTGCRGGGCCTCAGACAAATGTCTCTACCTTTCTGAAATTTAGAGTTCGTCTTGTAAAATGAGCATCATGATACTGTACCTCTGAGGAGTAAGTAAGTTTTAGAGGAACTGTTGGGAACATAGTGGATGCTCAGAATAGTTATTTTCTCTTTTCCTGTGAATGTTTGTCTGTTTCCCTGATCCCACTTGTTCTATTTTGTCTGGGTTGGTGACATTTCTGCTTATACCTGCCATTCTGTCTTTGCTTCTCATCTGTCTTGTATTGTAAATCACTTCTCCCGGTGTCATGTGTGTCATGTCAAAGGCCTTCTCTTTCCAACTGTGTCTTACACGGTTCATTTTCGTGGGACGCATTGCTGAAATCTGTATCATTTTGAACCAAACACATTAATCATTTTTGGTGGAGGGAGAGTGTATTAGGGTTCTCTGAGAAGCAATGATATAGATATAGATATATAAAAGGAGACTTATTATAAGAATTGATTCATGTAATTATTGGGCTCTTAAATCCTACCATCTCTGTAAACTAGAAAATGAGACACTGGTGGTGTGATTCAGCTCCAGTTTGAAGGCCTGAGAACAGGGATGGGGTGTGAGGCAAGGTACCAATGAAAGTCCAAGAATCTGAAGGTGAAACACTCTGATGTCTGAGGGCAGGAGTAGATGGGTGTCCCAGCTCAAGGAGAGACTGAGTAAGCTGAATGCAATAACAGACACCCAGCTACTCATGCTATATAGCCACAGAAGGTTTGAGGTTTGAGTCCAGTCTCCACAGCTTTGTAAGACCTGTCTCAAAATAAAATTTGAAAACAAGGCCAGGCATGAAACTCAGTGGTAGAATGCCCTTGAGTTCAATCCTCAGTATAGGAAACAAAACAAACAACAGACAAACACAAACAAAACAAAACCGAAACAGGAAACAAAGAAGAGAAGAAAAGGAGGAGAAAGAGAAGTGAATTTGTTCTTTCTCAGCTCTTTTGTTCTATTTGTGCCCTCAATGGATTGGACAAGGGCCATCTGTGTTGGTGAGATGGATTTCTTTATTCAGTCTATTGATTCAAGTTCTAATCTCTTTCAGAAACACCCCCATCAGACACACTTACAAATAATGTTTTACCAGTTATATGGGCATCTCTTAGCCTGGTTAAATTGATTTATAAAGTTAGCCAGCACAGAAAGTAATATGCAATTTATGAAAGCCTACTGTGTGCTAGATGTTTTCTATATATATCTTATGTAATATTTTAAAATATTAATGTTAAGTGTATAAAAATACATAGATATGTTCTTTTTAAAAACATGTTAAGTTTTAAGTTTTGTAATCCCAGCTACTCAGGATCCTGAGGCAAGAGGATCACAAGTTCAAGGCTAGGCTTGGCAATTTTGCAAGGCCCTGTTGTAAAATAAAAATTTAAAAGGATGGTAGTGTATTGCAGTGGTAGAGTACTTTTTAGCATATTTGAGTCTGGGTTAAATCCTCAGTATCGTAAAAACTAATATTGAGTGATATTTGTTAAAGTACTGCAAGGAAGGCTTTAGTCAGGACAATCACAAAAGGTATAGGGACCATGGCAATCAGATTTTTTAGAGGGATAAAGAGAATGGGTTTAACTCTGAATACAGCATGGGCAAGTGGGAATTTTGTGATAGGATCAGGATGGGGTGAGTCACAGGAAAGCAGGGAGCTGAAACTCCAAACCTTGATTCTTATGTTCCTTAATTTAAYGTCAGACACAAAAACCCATTCAATAGAACTTTATTGTTAAGTGAAAGTGAGGTGAAAATAAAGTAAAAGCGAAGTGAGGCTTTAGGAGAGCACTCTCTCTGGAGAGAGTGGGTCCTCTRCAAGTAGAGAATGACAAAGGAGGCAACATTGTCTCAAAATTCATTACTCTTTGATGTTTACCATGAGAAATGGGGATCACCTTCTGTACTCTTTGGAAATCAGGTATTCAACTCCTCCTTCACTTCAGGTGGTGAGAGTTTCTGGACCTTAGTTGTTCCTGTCTGGAACTGTTATGGTGGCTATTCTATTTAGGGGGGCTTCATCTACAAGTCAATCCCATGTTAACGTGGGAACCGGGGTCAATAGCTGGTCAGATGTTACCTTATTTTGTTCCTGCGCTACTAAAGGAATCTTCCCTCCCAGACGAATGGAGATACCTATAGTCATAATTCCTAGCTTCACATCAATATCAATGGACCCTGTCAAGAGTTAGTCCCAGTATTCCTTTTATTTTGACTTATTTTCCATTCTGTTTATTTACTCCAAATTAACTAACACACTTTGCTTTTTCATCCACTTTGAAAGTAGTTTAAAGTGTAAGGGTCCGGCGGAATGTTGGAGAAAGACCACACAAGAGACTGGCTCCATGCAATTGGCAAAAGGGGATTTTATTGGGGATCCATTCCAGCGCACTGGGACTCTGTGCTCACTCAAGAAGGGAGAGCAGCCCAGAGCCCAGAGCAGGAGTCAAGCAGAGCTTAAGTACACTTTTTGGAGAGGGTGTGTGTGGGGGGGGCTTTGCATACATCAGAACAAATCATCATGAGGCTCGGGAAATTGAACAACAACTTTGAGACATGATTAGCACATTCATTGGTGGGAACAGTTTGGGCAGGGGTGATTGGTCATTTCTAAGTGGGGTACACATTTAAACTGATTGGTTCTGGGGCCTAGATGCTTATGTGTCATGCTACCTAGAGCCCTTAGCTATTAAACAACCAGGGAATCAATGGAGATATTTACTGGGCAGTTCAGGTATTGTCCTAACAACTCACAGAGATTACAGGTTCCGGGGGTAGCAGAGGAATTTTAACAATACCTAGYCTTTACTTTTTAGCCCAGGCCTTGCCATTTAGAAGCTTTACAATGCCTAGTCTTTTACACTTTAACTCAGACTTTTGCAGCTTAGAATCAGCTTAGAAGTTTTACCTTTACAAAAGAAGACCCTAACATAATTTAAAGAATGCTTGTGACCTTGCCATGTATTTCACTGCTCACTGCTAGCTACTACCTAATAAGTGAATGGAAAATTACTGAGAGGAAACTTCAGGGGTGAGGAGAATCTGGTTAAATTAAGCTGATAGGATTCTTGCTGAAGATAGGTCAGTGTCTGGACCTCCTTGGGTGCCGCAGTCTGGCTGGGCACAAAATTACGAGCCACCACACACCTTGTAGATTCAAACAGCAATTCTTTATTCCTGAACTCACACCAGCCCTCTACAAACACGTTCTGGGGAAAATCACATTTTTCCGCCAAATTCACGTACTCMACCAGGCTTTTAATCCCAAATACTTTCTCAATCCCAGGAGAACTCAAGGATCGGGTGTGCCTGAGGCAGCAGGATACGCCCTATTCCCAGCAGGGTACACCTTAAACCTGGAACCGCCCTAAACCCAAGGAGCGGGATACTCCCTATTCCCAGCAGGATACACCCTAAACCTGGATCCGCCCTAATCCAGTAGGATCCTCCCTAAACCCGGATCCACCCTKGTCCTTGAGYAGGGTCACCTTTCTCAAACATACATGCAATGTCACWGMAAATGTCCAAGGCAAGTCCATTTCCATGAGTCCTTCCTCTAAGCAACATGGGGTACGCTGGCAAGGAAATTGTCATACCTACTTGGCTAATGGCTCTCAGCACTTGGGAAATGGCAGAGGAAGAGAAAACTGATTAGATATTGAGGGTCATCTGCTATCAAAGATGGGAATTCTGGATAAACTGGTCTAGCAGATTCTTTGTTAAAACTGGGTTTTATGGGCTGGGGATGTGGCTCAAGCGGTAGCATTCTCGCCTGGCATGCGTGCAGCCCAGGTTCGATCCTCAGCACCACATACCAACAAAGATRTTGTGTCCGCCGAGAACTAAAAAAATAAATATTAAAAAAAAATTAAAAAATAAAACTGGGTTTTACAAGGAAGTACATACATGTGTTAACAGAATTAAGGACCTCTGCTCACCCTGGGATTGGCCAATTAAATGAGAAATGAAGTGTTGAGATAAGAAAATTGACTTTATTTGAAAAGCCAGCTCAGGGAGAAGAAAGGGGGACTTGTCAGAAAGCTCTTTTATGGGGTGGAGAGCCTGGGGGCACAAAGGGTTTTTTTTAGGGGTGGAAAGGAGGAGCAAGACAGAAAGATTTTGTGCAGAGCAGGGTCTTGGTCATTCATATATTTGTTGACTGTATTTCTTCTTTTAAGAAGTGTCTATTTAGTTCCTTTGCCCATTAATTGATTGGGTTACTTGTTTTTTATGGTGTTAAATTTTTTGAGTTCTTTGTATATCCTGGATATTAATGCTCTATTGGAAGATTAGGAGGCAAAGATTTTCTCCCAATCTGTTGGCTCTCTTTTCATGCTCTTAATTGTTTCCTTTGCTACTCAGAAGCTTTTTAATTTGATGCCATCCCATTTATTTTTGATTTTACTTCTTTGCTTTAAAGGAGTCTTGTTAAGGAAGTAATTTCCTGAGTCAACATGTTGGTGTGTTGGGCCTACATTTTCTTCTGGCAATTGCATGGGTTCTGGTCTAATTTCTAGGTCTTTGATCTACCTTCAGTTGAC